CGGTCCGTCCGGGCGGCCACCCCTGGAGCCAGGCCTCCGCCCCGGAGGAGCAGCTTCCCGCCGGGCCAGGGTTTGGATTTCCCTCCACCTCCTCGGTTGTCATGGTTACTGGAGACTTGGACCCGGGAGGGCTGGCCGGGATTCTTCGCTGGCTGGTCCAGCGCCCGGGCACCGGGCACTCTGGGCCGTCAGTGTCGCCTGTCAGGTCCCCTGCAGAGAATCCAGCCTCTGTAGCTGTGGGACCAAGATCTCCATATTGGCCCGGCCGGTGAGGCTCAGTGGGTGAGCGTCGACCTGTGAACCAGGAGGTCAGGGGGTTCGATTCCCGGTCAGGGGTGGGGCGTGCAGGAGGCAGCTGATCGATGATTCTCTCTCATCGTTGATGTTGATTTTTTTTTATCTCTCCCTCCGCCTCCCTTCCCCTCTGAAATCAATAAAAAACATATACATATTTTTAAAAAGAGCCCTGTATTGGGTTAAGGAAGCAGGTCTTCTGAACTGGCACCTTTTCTCGTTTAGCTGATTTGTGATGGTTCAAAACGAGCTGGTCTCCTGTCGGCTGCAAGCGCCCAGATCTCAGCTGTGGGTGTCCCCGTCTCCTCCTAGCAGCGTCAGCTCCCCACGGCCGCCGGTGGGGAACCAGCCTCCTGAGTCACTTAGGTTTGTTTGATTCTACGGACTGGCCTTTCTTCCTTTTTTTTTTAAATAAGCCCTCTCTAGACATCACATACCCTTATATAGCCACAGCGCAGGGGCCGTGGATAAGGCGACGCTTCTCTGCTTGATAATAACCCCTTTCCTGCTGTCATCCTTATGCAACACTATTCTGTCTCCACCACTGTCATCACGAAGTCCCGCCCCCCAGGTGGGACTTTATCGTTATCTCGGGGAGCTGAGCCCTGGGCACCCACTCTTGATCTCTCTTCTTTTTCTTCTTCCTCGGTCGGTGCAAAGTGAATGTGTTGGCATGAGAATTGGCTTCTAAATGATTCGGTCTCCTGCCACCCACTCCCCTCAGTGTTTAGCCACCAGCTTACCATTACTCCTCACCATGCCTGCCGCCCACCCTTCTCTTTCAGGTGGAAGAACTTCTCTTCTTTTCACCCCATTTGTATCTTTTTCTTTCCTGCTCACAACAGCCCCCCCTGAGGTAGCAACCAACACCCCATCCAGTCCTTTGTTGTTTGAAATTACTTCTTGTCTTACCTCCTGCCAATCTCAGCAGCGATCCTTGGAAGTAGGTGTGGCAGGTCGTGTTGTTATTCCCATTTTACAGATGAGGGGTCTGAAACTTGGGAAACCGTTACTTGGATTAGAAAGGAGAGAATTAGGTATAGACTTTTCAGATTTAAATGTCAGCGCTTTCCGTCCCGACAGCTGCGGATTTAAAACAACAATAACAACAAAAACACCTGCAAGTGCCATCCAGCTGGCCCTCCGAGTCCTTGGTCCTGAGGGTGGACTAAGGGACTTGAGCTTCCTTGGACTTTGGTATGCCAGGGGGCCTGAACCCATCCCCCACAGACACGGAGCGGGACTGTGGGCCTTCCTCCCACCTTACAGGGCTGGCATTGGCGTGAATAGGTGCAGTCAACACGAGACAAATTCAGCTAAAGATGAAGCTTCTGGAAGATTGTAGCTCAAACCTGCCTCCGTTGAGAAGCCATCTCTGTGTCTGAATCAAGAAGAGGCCTTTATTGGCTCACAAATTCTGACAGGTCAGTTCCTGCAGTTACAGTGCCTGTCCCCACGGCCTGAAGAATCTCAGGTCCATAACAATTGTTCTCCGAGTGTGAGATGAGCGCCAGCAGCTGGACTGCCTGCTTCGTCGCTGATGGCCCTTCTGTGAGGTGGACAGTGGCTGTTATCCGAGTTACTTAGTTAGACATCCATCTGTTACACAAGCGTGATATGGATTATCAGGATAACTGCGGCCTTTCTCTCTTTCCTTCGGCCGTGGCCTCTTGACCGGCTATGGATTATCATCTTGGTGTGTTGGGAGAACCCCCAGGTGGTATTGGGGGACGGCTTTTCTCCTTCGCCTACAGGTGACCGTGGATGATTGGCACCTCAGGTTGCAGTGCCTTGATGCTACTTTTGACTTGGAGACCTTCCTTGGCAGCCTTTGCTTAGGCACGAGGTGCTGGAGTCAAAGATAACAGGCTCCGGGGGCCTATTAATAATGCTTGAAATAGACTGGGGAGGAGGATCCAAAGGGAGACCTGCTCTGATGAAGCCTCCACGCTGGTACAGCCAACAAAACGGGTGCCCTTCAGGTCAGAGTCTTTGGTGAAAAAGGCATCAATCTGATGATAAAACCCTTGAAAGCAGTTGTTTGCTCACAGAGGACTTCTCACTTCATCTACGTATATATGTTATAGGGCACAAAGTGTGGGCTAAGAATTCTGGGTAGGCTGATACTTCTGAAAAGGTCTTTTCTTTTTATTTATTTATTTATTTAGCAAGTTGATTACTGTCACCTATCTTGGTATCCTTGGCATTATGATCTTGGTGCTTAAGGTCTAGATAGAGGCTCTTAAAGCTAT